AAAAAAAAAAAAAAAAAAATGAGCAGGGACAATAAGCAGAAGCACATGCCTATAGCCCCAGTTACTCAGGAGGCTGAGGCAAGAGGATTGGTTGAACCCGGGAGTTCAAGGCTGCAGTGAGCTATGATTGTGCCACTGCCCCCCAGCCTAGGCAACTGAGTGAGACCCTCTCACAAAAATAAATCAATAAAATTAAGTTAAAAAGATTTAAAACACTTGATCAAAATAGGATCACAAGTCTGCAAAATTACAATCATTCATTCAGCCAAAGTGATAATAATTCAAATATTCCAAAGTGAAAACCTTAATCTTTGATAGAGACTCAGTTTCCCAAACAATCAAAAGACGTAATAAAGACAACACAAGGCTCATGCCTGTAATCCAAGCACTTTCAGGGAGACTGAGGTGGAGGATTGCTTAAGTCCAGGAGGTCAAGACCAGACTGGGCAACATAGCAAGACCCCATGTCTTCAAATCAAGAAAGACAACATAAGGCAAACAAAATCTCTCCCTCCCCAGCTCCCCTGCCATTCTTTTTTTTTTTTTTTTTTTTTTGGCAGCTTAATTAAAAGGTAAGCAAAATCTTTTGCTATCTCTTATTAATACTGCACAAAAACCTTGTTTAAAACAGAAGGCCAAAGTCTATCTTTCCATGTGTACTAGTAATGCCAAAGCTAATTTTAATGAAATCTTATAAACAAATCCATCCAATCTCAACCAGTTTTGACCACACAAGGTAAGGTTTTCATAAACTTTTTTTTTTTTGAGACGCAGTTTTGCTGTTGTTGCCCAGACTGGAGTGCAATGGCACGATCTCGGCTCACCGCAACCTCCGCCTCCTGGGTTCAAGCAATTCTCCTGCCTCAGCCTCCCGAGTAGCTGGGATTACAGGCATGCGCCACCATGCCCAGCTAATTTTTGTATTTTTAGTAGAGATGGGGTTTCACCTTGTTGATCAGGATGGTCTCGATCTCTTGACCTCGTGATCCACCCGCCTCGGCCTCCCAAAGTGCTGGTATTATAGGCGTGAGCCACTGTGCCCGGCCTTCATAAACTTTTTATAACCTCTTACAGTTTCTCCATTCCTTTTTGCCTCTGTTGCCCAGGCTAGAGTGCAGTGGCGTGATCTTGGCTCACTGCAACCTCCACCTCCTGGGTTCAAGCAATTCTCCTGCCTCAGACTCCTGAGTGTCTGGGATTGCAGGCGCCTGCCACTGGGCCGGCCAATTTTTTTTTTTTTTTTTTGGTAGAGAGGGGTTTCACCCTGTTGACCAGGCTGGTCTCGAACTCCTGACCTCATGATCTGTCCACCTCAGCTTCCCAAAATGATAGAATTACAGGCATAAGCCACCATGCCTAGCCAAACCACCATTCATTTTTACAGATCAGGCAAAAAGGGTGAATTTGGAGCTGAGAGGCAAAAAAAATCAATAACCAGCACAACCATCTTAGGATTGACCTCTGTTGATTATGTTTTCCCTTGAGAATTAGTCATATTTTTTGCTTTATGTGTGTGTTGAAGACTTTTGGCTTATATCCTAGACATTGTGAATGTTATGTTATACAGACTCTGCTATATTCTTCTGAAGAGTGTTGATGTTTCTGTTTGAGTGAACAATGTGTTCTGTGTCACCTCTGGTGGTGGGTGGTAGCTTGGATCTCACGGTAAAATTTTAAGGCTAAAATTATTTTAGCTTTAACTGCCAGCTTCTTTCAGATCAGCCAGAGATTTGGATGGTATTTATGAGCAGATTTGGGGGCCCCCATTTCCTGATTTTCTTTTTTCTGTCATTGCCTCCTCACTTTCCCATGACTGTATGCCCTGAGCTCTGAACTCTGGTTCTTCAGGCCAGACAGATGGTGGGTTTTTCATCACAGTTTTAGCTGTCTCATGCCACACCATGTCTGTGGTGTGCCCTTAGTCTAACAACACAGATAGGAAACTCACCCTGAAGCAATTCCTTCATCCATCTTCCAACTCTCCTCCTAAATATGCTTGCTTTGGCTAACTCTCCAGAGCCTTCAGGTCCTTGTTTTGTTTTGTGTCCTCGGTTCATGTTGTTATCTGCAGAAGGTAGGACTGTTAGAAATTTACTACACTATGCTGGAAGAAGAAACCACTATATCTATGTTATTTTTATTAGTAAAGAAATTGACTATTAAGAGGTAAGCTATAAACGTCAATATATAGTGGGTCATAACAGAGCTAGGCAAAGCTATCAATTAAAGAAATAGAATAGTTCCCAGGCTAGAACAAGACAAAAAAAAAAAAAACCAGGCCAATCAAAGTAGTTTTGTTAGCCATGGAAGCATCAAAAAGCAAAGCCACAGAAGAAAACACTGGTAGTGACCAAGGATGGTATTCGGGAGAATGAATCTTGGCGATGGACTTCAGCATTCAGGACACCTGACTAGGCCATCCCGACTGTGGAAGTAAATGCATCACACATTGGTAGCCTGATGTCTTCAATCTTCCTAGCAGTATAACTCACTCCTTGCATTAGTCCATTTTGCTTGGCTATAAAGTGTTGGAAATAGGCCGGGCATGGTGGCTCACGCCTGTAATCCAAGCACTTTGGAGGCCAAGGCGGGTGGATCACCTGAGGTCGGAGTTCAAGACCAGCCTGACCAACATGGTGAAACCCCATCTTAAAAAAAAAGAAAAACAATAAAGTGTTGGAAACAGATGCTCGGTGCCAAAAGTAAAAATTAGCCCTGAGACAAAGGATCTTTCAGCAATGCAATTTTTGTTTCCTGGACTGCAGGAAGGGTACTCTCACTAGCCGTCATGCCATGAGAGTACAAAGAACAAAGGGAAAACACACAAATTTATTCCTTACATATTTGGGGTTGCCCTTACTGCTGTGTCTGATCTCCGTTGGCTTCAGCCAGACCTCACTATCTAAACTAAAACTCGATTGGCTAACAACTTAAAACTCTTCTAAACAGGTAAGAGCAATGGAGAGCTGGCACATGCCTGTGAGCACGTCCAGCACAGATATCTTGGCTAAAATACAA